GGTTTTTTGGGGGGAGTATGGCCAGTTAAGGTTCATCGGGTTAAATTAAAAGGTCATTGTAGTACATGTACATGTAGCGGCCTTCTCACCAGTTTCCAGCTTTGTATCTTTATTGGAATAGAATTTATAGACCCTTAAAGATGCTGCTAAAACAGACAAGCAGTTCTGGGGTGCCAACAAGTCTCGTTGCACCCAAAATCCTGGGGCAATATCAACACAATCAAACAATGTAGATGTTGTTTTCTTTCATGTGGTACACGTATGTCAAGTTATTAATGAAGACATTTTCAGACCAATCTGAGTTGGGTTTATATAGGAGGGTGTTTGAATCGCCATGGAATGACCCTGTTACCACACTCATCAGTTCCAATTTTTTCCTTTTAAACTTCAAGTTTTTACTTACCCAAACTGTTGAACAGACACTGAGCTTGGGTTTGTAAATATTGGCCAGTGAAATAGAGACAAGCAGTTCCAAAAGAACAGTGTTGTTTAAGGAGTCTTTACAGCATAAATGGATAACGTCCACTCACACTTGTCAACAAAAATGGTTTTAGTTCTGTCGTCTTGTTACGTTGTCCAGTGCAATGCTTGAGTTGTTTTGTTAACCCAAACAGTCCTCAATCCTTCACCTGTTGGAGGATTGAGGACTGTTAAGGTAAAAGAATTTTTATCTATAAAATCTTTTATACAGTCTTCAGGATCCTTTTGTTTTCACAAAGTGATTTTTGATTAATTGAATAATTACTACTTTGGACTGATTAATTGAGTAATTGAATAATCCTTGCAGGCCTAGCACCTGTCAGTTTGAATTGAACCCATGCTAGCAGCAGATAACTGCGGTCACATTTCTCTTTTTGCTCTCACCTGATTGGACAGAGTGCAGCCAAGATCCGCAGGTTGGAAAGGAGCCGCTCGCTGCTGCTGCAGTCTGACGACAGCCTGACAACTGCAACTGAAACCACCGAGGTCTGTTACCGTCATCGGGACCAAACTTNCGTATCCACTGAAAATATGTGAACTGGGATGCACTATGAAAGTTTACTTTAAACAGAAGGCTTGCAGAAATCGAAGCAGGAAAAGATGATGTAAACTGGTTTTTAACCCTAACCCCCAGGTCCATTTTGTTAGGGACCCTCCTCAATCCTCCAGAATCCTCCAATTTGGGGGGTGAAAAAATTAGATTTTCCCTCAATCCTCCAAAATCCTGCAAAATCCTCCGGCAATTCCTGTCATTATGTTGATACAGTGAGAATGGCATTCTTGAGCAGTGCGGTTGATTCAAAAGAAATATTGTGCTGAGTTTATGCATGACTGAGCAGGAACAACACAAGATCCAACCTGGGAACTTCACGCAAGGCATCCTTCGCAATCAGCCATCCACTTTTGCCATTCAACCTCAATCCTTCCAAATCCTCCAAAACCACTCGAAGGATTTTGGAGGATTGAGGAGGGTTAGGGTTAATTTGTAGAATTGTGTTCCTTCTGATTTCCATGCATTTGCAGGGTTTGGCTTGAGCTGATGGCATCAGCTAGAAAGGGCATCTTCCTGTGGGTGGATCTTAAAAATCCTTGTTTCTCATTGTGTATAAGCAAACTCGTATCAGAACACTCTGTCTCAATTTCTGCAGACCAAAGATAAATGCTTTCCTCACACAGGTGCATGAATCTTGTGTGGGAAAAGTTGAGTCGTCATTATTTTGATGTATTCGGGGCATTTTATTCAAGCAGTGTAAAGCATGCACTGGCCTGCTTATTCATGTGAGGTATACTTGGAATGTTGCCAGTTGCCTTGCTGAATTCCTCAAGATTGGATCTAGTTCAGCTTCTTGAGAGCACCCTCAATCACTGATATGCAGACATTGGGGAATATGATCTGAATGCAGTCATAGGCCCCGAAATATGTCCATCACAGGCAGTCAAGAGTTATTCAGCCTTGATTCGGTTCACAAACTGTACAGTTGAACTATCACAGACGCTTGACTTGTCATTTGTCGTCATGGATTAGCCCTAACTCCCTAGGCCCTTGCACTAGAAATAGTACCGGATCTAACAAACTCCAACAGCTGTGCACAATTTCAGTAGTTACTGGTACCAAACCTGCCAAACTCCAACAGGTCTCATACGCCATACAGTACTAAACCTGGCAAACTCCAACAGTTGGAGTTTGGCCTGTTTGGTACAGATGGGTCTATGCATTGTCTAGTGATTAGAAAAGGATGGTACCAAACCGAACAAAATGAGCCAATGAACTTACAATAGAAAATCAGAGTTTGGGGGAGTTCACAGGCATTTATTTGTGGGTGAGCTCACGGCCGCTCCCTAGCACAGTTCCTGGTCAAATGTTGGAGCTAATTACAGCCTGTACTCTTTATCCCAGGCCCCTGCACTCGAAAAGTATATAACCTGTCAAACTTCAACACCCTCAAAACTGTTGAATTCTGAT